TTTTTTTTTTTTTTTGTTTTTTTTTGTTTTGTTTTTTTGGTTTTTTTTTTTTTTTTTTTTTTTTTTGTTCCTCAGTACTTCTACTTTCTACTTCTTTTACTGTGAATTCATGATGTTATTTATTGTAAACTGTTAATATAATTTGGCCTGGTTTTTATCATGCATATTTCATAGTTATGGTATATGTGCTGGTTAGTGAAAAACAGCAATACCAGACTATGTCTTTACAAACCAAGTGCTGTAATTCTTTGTTTCCCACTTATGTTCCCAACAGATTCCAGTGTTCTACCGAGCATGAAAATCTGTAGTGTTAGTGAGAATGTCATCAGAGAATAGCTTTTCATTTAATTACTAACATCCTGCTTTAGTATGGGACTTCACAAGATACATTAATTGTGCTCATGCTATCAACGGTTCACCTATGGGAGACATGGGTGGAAAGATGAGATTATTCAACACTTTGTTGTTGACTTTATTTGCCTATGAAGAAATCATGCATCTTCTCACTAATTGCCTCCTGCAGCATTTAATGTAAAATGCTGCTTAAATTTATAAGCATCTTTCAGCCATGCTAGGAAGGTAGTTTGGATTTTCAGATGTGCTTTGCTGTAGGTGGCTTGTAGCAACAACAAAAAAAATCCATAAATATGGGTGCCTCCAAGAGAATCAGGCTTTGGGCTCTGTGCAAATGTCTTAATAGTCCCATGTTTTCTTCTAGAACATTTATTTGAAAACAGGTCTAGTAATATATTTTGTGAAATATCCGCTTTTGGATTTATTTTTGTCTTTAAAAGACTATTCTGGTATTTGATTTTAAAAATCTGTGATAGGACACAAAATATTGTTTAGTCTTGTTGGTCTGTGACGTACGCAAAAAATTCTTTTCTGTTCATAGCTCTGTTCTTAAGACATTGCAGCCATGACTAAGAGAGAGGCAGAGGAGCTGATAGAAATAGAGATTGATGGAACTGAGAAACAGGAATGCACTGAAGAAAGGTATGTAATGTACTGTCTTTGCTTTCTGGGATCCTTAGGCAGCAATTAATTGACTAATATGTTTTTTTGTTTCCTGTCTAATTAAATGGCGGTTTTCCAGAAGTTGAGATGTATAGGAAAGCAGTATAGTGTTGTCATGTTCCTCAACTTTAATTATCTAAATCCCAAACTGTTTCGGTTATCTCTTGCTATGTTATTGGTATTTTACTTTTCCTATTTTCATGTCTGCAGTAGTATGTCTGTGTGTGTGCTGCAAACATTTCAGCTTCAGTGGATCCCTCTGAGGGATTGAGATGGACCTTTCTATATCTCCAGTCCTTTGCTTTACTGTTATACAGGATTTGTACAGGATGATTTGTTTTAAACAGAGCAGAAACGATGCTTGCTATCAACTATAGTATTGTTAGGGCCATTGAAACCATACATACTGAAGTAGGATGCTCTCTGATTTAATTACTTCAGCCTGGATTTTTAGTTTCAAATGCTTCCCTTCTAATTTTCACTACTGTGTTTGGAAGCTCAGAGCATCAGTTAATGTGTAGGATAGTGCTGCAATCTGGTCTAAGCACAGAAGAGCAAAGAAAACTAATTCTCTGTGAATAAAACAGATTGAACACAGAAAAGTATGAAATATAACCCAAAACTTGATTAAAACCAAATGAGGTTAGATGTTGATACAAAAACAGTATGATATATTTTATTTAATACTAAAAGAGGTAAGGAGAAAGAAAGAAAAAAAGAAATAGAGGTGGGAGGCGGTGTCAGGGAGAGTGACAGAGATTAAGCAGAAACTTAACAGCACTTCCAAGGTCCCCAGTGACGTCTCACTGCTTCCCTCCATCTGGTCTTCTTACCAGTGAGGGTCCCTGCTGAAAAGTATAGAATCCAATGGATTAATATACATTTGGGCAGGTGGGAACACACGGGAACCTACGGGCAGTGGGGCAAGTTTGACACTGTCCCTTGCAAGACTGCAGATCTGTTGCATCACGTGCAGTGCAGGATCTGGGGCCCCTTTGGTGGGGGGCCTTTGTTGAGCCAGGACACCCCCTCAGTTGTCCCTGACATGTTGTCCCTCACACAGATGTGGCCTTCCAGGGATGGAAGGCCCCACAGCTGGGCCAGTCTGCCCAGTGGAGGATGGGTGTTCACTGCATCTGGCCAGAGGCCATGCCACCCACCCAAACCCTCTCCTCCCTCCCTGCTTTTGTGTAGGGATCTGTGGGAGCTTGGCATCAGAAAAACCTGGGGCTGTGGCCTCCACCCCAAAGGTAGCTGGGCTTAATCCTTTTGTGATAAATAAGTAATGCGATGGTTGACTGTCACAATTAAAAGGCAAATATTATGTGTATGTTAAGAGAAGTTTTATAGTTATGTTTTATCTCCCTCTTGCATTGTTATCACGGGGTGACCTGAGTAGTCAGGACATTTGAGCAGGTTGGCTTGTTACTGTGGTGGCACCCGACTTCCAATCAAGATGTAAAGAAGTGAACTCCACCACTGGACAGTGAAAAAGGAGTCGATGGACAGACCTTTGGGTGGAGCTAAAGGGTTAAAAGGCAAAACATCCATTGTGTAGATGAGCATGTGGTAGGAAAAATCCTTTGCTCCTGGCGCTGCACTATTTTCTCTATTCAGTCTTCTGTTGTATTTTTCATAAGGTTTTAATAAACTTTTTAAAATTTTTAGAAGTGAGTATCATTTATCGCACTCTTGTGAATGTATTCTTTTCCCCCAGCCCAGACTTAGGTCACTTTAGCTTATGTCTATTAACTTGCAGTTGAGGACCTCAAGTCAGGAGGCCCATTCAGGGTGCAGTTCTTTTTACCTACTTTTGCTATAATAGGCAAAAGTCCTTCATAAAGATGTTTAAGGCATATACCATAACATTTCAGTCTCCAACAGGCAGAAAGAACTGAGGCTGGTTAGGTTAACTACACTTTAAGAGCCTATTCTGGAGAACTGATTCAAAGCCACTTACTAGTTTCTTACTGTTCTAAGTTCCTTATGTATTTCTACCACTTACAGACTGTGTACATTCTGATTTCCTTCTGTGTATATGAAGAGAGTGCATAAGGTCATTGTTGTAATGTGTCCCATAACAATGACATTTCTGAATGCCTGTGCCAATACTGTCAGTGTTGTAGTGTGGGACAACCATGTCATGTGGCTCATAGTTCCTTCAAGGCTCCATGTTGCTGTACTTCCTTCTGATTGTCCCTTTTATGTGTTAAGCTTATTATTCTTGTACTGACGGGTGAAAAGACATGGAAAGTTGCTATGTATGAGCATTTTTTTCCTTCTATTTTCCCTGTGTTTCTGTGCTTGCTTTTAACTTGAATATATTTTAAATTCAGTCCAGTCAAAGCAAATAAAATCAGTTTACATGCAAGTATTATTAAGTATTAAGTATTATTAAGTATATCAAGATTTGAGAGTCAGTATTATTTTTTATTTAGTTTATTTCCAACTTTTATTAAGTTTTCCTATACCTGCTCTATTAACATGTGAGTAATGATTTATTGTATTAATTTGCTATTTAAGCATTGTCGAGCAAAGTTACACCACCGCAGAATTTGTTAGTCAGGCTATTGACATCAGTGAACCCATTGGAAACCTTAAGAAGTTGCTGGAACCCAGACTGCAGTGTTCCTTGGATGCACACGAGATTTGTCTGCAAGATATCCAGGTAAATTGAAAGGTTATGAAACATTTAGCTTCGTAATGGAGAAGTGTTTTACATACTTTTTCCCTTTTTTCCATTGTCTGTGGAATTCGTGTTTCATGTGGACTATTAGCTACAATTAAGTGTTTAATTTCATGTCAGGTTCATTATCATCAGGCCATTTAATATATGCACACTAATTCAGTGTGAATACAATCAAAATATTCTGGGAGTTCCTGGTGTGCAGTTAAGAAACCACCTTGCAAGTGAAAGAAGAATGAGGGTGATGACCATACTACTTTCTCTTGAGGTAGCCCACATAATTTGTTGCTGCCAGAACTTCCATAATTCTAATCTTGTTGTTAATCTAAATGAGAAGGTTTCTATATTATTGAGGTATAGAGATAGCAAAGCATTACTCAAGAAATTCCCCCCCCAAGATTTTTACAGGCATTGGCACATGTTAGACAGTGTAACTGTTTTGTGTTTTATTTGAAGCTACAATCAGACATCTGTGGCTTTTCCAGAAACAGCAGGAGAATATTGTTATAAGGATAAGAATTTTTATGATGGTGTTAAAAACTCAGAGAAGGAACTGTAGATAGTTTTCAGGTAGTGAAGGTACCTCCTCCTATTGCATTACTTCTTTTAGGTCAAAAAATGTTCCTGTAGGCAGAAATATCTTAAACAGAACAGAGTGGCAAGTTTCAAATACGATCAATTTTTTTTCTGTTATGTACTATATCTAGACAGTACTAAAAATATTTGCATGCTTATTCAGAAAATTTGCTGCAGGCACCCAGTGTTTCTAAAATTTAAAGGAAAGTTAGTTTATTGTATCTATGAGACTAATACATATTTTAATTTTTTTAATTTTTAATGCTTTTATCAAGCTGGACCCAGATCGAAGCCTTTTTGATCAAGGAGTGAAAACAGATGGAACAGTGCAACTCAGTGTACAAGTAATATCTAGGCAAGGTAAGCAGTTACATTTGTCTGTTGTACAGACAAACTAATATTGCACGAATACTTGTGAGCAAACCTAATCTCCTATTCCTGGCTGTAAAATTGAGAAAATCAATGAATGGTCACAGAGCTTCAGATTGTCTTTTTCATTGTGTACTGTAGTTCTAAGAAGTAAAATTAAAATAAATGTCATGCACTGATGCTATTTGAAATGTTTTTTAAAGGAATTTCATATTGTTTTTATAAGTAACAAAATTAAACACAAATTCAGAACCCAAACAACTTTTAGTCAAGTAGTATCAGTTACAGTATGAGGTTTTCCTCAAGGTTGAGTAGTTACTCATATCAGACCAAATATTGACTCAGGCAAAAGATTTTTGTGTAGGTAGGTGTCAATTTCATCCCTGTGAGGTGAGTGAGCTTGTGTGCTTTAGAACAATTACATTTTGAAAGTAAATGTAGCTAACTAAAAATCCTTATCAAGGTCCATGATCACTGTCTATTGTCTCTTTTCTTTGGATGAGAAGTCAGAATAAGCCAGTGTGTAAGAGGAACATTAACCAGTTGGATACGGATTTGTTAAGGCGTAGTTTTTATTTGTATTATCTGATGTGGCAGGATTTCCCCTTGTCAAATACTCAGGAACTAGCAGCTTCATTGTTTTACTTTTTAACCTAGTTTTCTGCTTTGGCCCCTCCATATGTCTTGAATGGAAGGACAGCCAGACAGCCACCACTCTTTATAGACAATGTACATATTGGGCTGTGGGAACATCTACAGGTGTTTATTTCTGTATTTTTAAACAGGGGCAAGTTCATACAGGCATAGATTAGTTATCTGTTTTGAGTTACATCAGCAAAGCAAATGAGCAACATTTGGAGTGCACTTTTTGTTTACTTTTGGCTTCGTTGTAGATTAAACAGAAGAAAACTTTTCTGCTTTGTATTAATAGTCTTCAGTAAGACACAATTTGCATTTAATGCTGAGTGTCAGGTGACTAGTGCTAGGTTGAGTCCTCAGTTCCCCATAGGTAATGGGAAGTATACTACCTTTCTACTTATAAAATAGAATGGAAATATCCTTCAGAGAACTAGAATAACTGCTCTTAATTCATGCCCAGTAACTTCTAGTATTCAGTGCTCAGACTTGCATTTTCAAAAGGATGTGAGTGATGAATATCTTTACTATCATCTTCATATTTGTCATGGTTTTGCATGGGGGACATTTAGAGAAATGATACAAAGCTTCCAGCCACTGGAAAGCTGGATGCGCCTCTGTGAAAAACACATGTTAAAGAGGAAAGAAGTGCAGGAACTTCCTCTTTCTCTTCTGGTCTGCAAAGAGGTAATATGCCCTGGCCCCCTGACTCAGCCAGGCCAGGGCCAGGCGGTCCTGCCCACAGGGCTGGGCCCCTTCCCCTTGAAGCACCTGCTGGCCCCCTGCCATCGGCTGCCAGGCAGGTCAGGGAGTGCCATGGGCTGGGCCGGGCAGGCTCTGCATAGGGCCAGGCCCTGCTCTGGGGGTCTGAGGGGCTCACCAAGCCCCATCCTGCCTGGGCTGGGCCCCAGCAGCTGCCAGGCAGGGAAGGCTGCGGAGCCCTGGCTGAAGCAGGGCTGGGCCATGGCTGTTAAGATCTCACCACCAGGTCCCCTCCCCACAGCGCGGCCACCGCACAAGATCAAGCGTCTGAGACCAGGGGCAGCCCTGCAACCTGTGCAGAGGGGCCCTGTGGCTGGAATTGAATGCAGAGAAAACCAAAGACCAGCCATGCAGCTGATCCTGACATAGCCCCAGCTGGAAGTTCCCGCCTCTGGCACCGAGTGACCATCTGCAGGCCCTGGGCAAGATGTTAACTCTTTCAGTGCTTCAGTCGTCCCTTGAGAGAGAGAAAGGAACAAGATGCAAGTATGTAAAGGAGCGACATGAAGACACCAAGGTCAGCGAAGAAGAAGTCAAGTCCCAGATGGGAGGGATGAGGAGATGCCTTGGTCTTGGAGCTGAAATACTTTTGTAAAGCTGTAGAGAAAAGACTGTGTTTCCCTGTAACACATGAAAACCATGGGGAGATGAAGGGTGCAATTTGATATCGAGCAAAGGCTTCCATGCTAAAGTAAGCAGATGTTAAAGTAGCTGTGGTCCTATGAGAAGTTTGAACAGAGGAGAGAAGAGTGGTCCTGTACCCCCAGGAGAAGGTCTCTGTTCTCAGATGTAAAGATGATTTTAGAGATAGATAATGAGAACTTTTGCCTTTGAACAGCTGATCTTTAAAACAATACTTCATAAGTTGACATGGCCCATAAACACAGCTGTGGGAAAAGCTTGTGGAAAATGGGAGGGACTTCAAAATTGCAGATTTCCCTGGGTGGCTGCTATTCATGACAAATTGAGAGCCATGAGAGAACTGGCTTTTTTTCCTTCGTGGAGAAGTCTCCATAACATTAACAAGAGAGACTTCTCTCCCTAAGTGAACTGAAGAAAGACTATTCTGGAGATAGTAAACTGACTGAAATTTTAAGTTTTGTTTCTTTACGTTGCCAGTGGAAAAGAAAAGGTTGTGGGGGAGGAGGAGAAGTGTTCTGAAGGTTTTGTTCTGATTCTTACTATTCTTTATTTTAGTTATTGTTAATAAATTTTTCATTATACCCTTTTAAAGTTTTGAGCCTGCTTTGCCCTTCTCCTAATCCTACTTCACAGCAGGAAGTGAGCACATTGGTGGTTGGCCAGTGCTGAACCCACCACACTCCTTGGTGCGCCACCTGGGGAATTTCAAAATTGGCGAACCAAAACCACAAGTTTCCACCCGTTTTTGAGCTGAAACCGCCACAATGTTCTTCCTGTGTTTCGTTTTTTCCCTTTAATGTAAACTGATCATGATAACTCAAGGAACTCCTTGCTCCATGCCCCCATCACACCTTGTCTCTCTCTCTCCCTCCCTCCCCCCATCCCTGTCTCCCATCTTAAAAGAAACACTTGAATATTAAGTACTTCTGTGTCACTTTGGAAAACTCCTCAGTGTTGTTTTTCAGACCTTCAGACTTTAGCAGCTCCTAAGATACCTGTTGTTGAAGGCATGTAAAATATGGCAGGGCAGAATATCAGAAAACAAATAGTATGCATATAAACAAAATGAAGATACTTGAATCACTAACAGGAAAATGGACTTGTTACTCTTGACCACAGTATCCCTTTGAGCCAGATGGGAAAAAACGGTTTCTTACTCCATCCTCATATTTTACTGCATGAATGAGGTTTTGAGAAACTCTCAGTTCACTTACGTTTATTTTCCCCTCACTTATGTAATGTAAGAATTCAACTAAGGGTAATCAGTGATGCTAATCCTTGTGTTGGATTGGATTCTTTCATTTCTTGAAAGAAAAGCTGCTATGTCAGTTCAAATGTTCTACCAAATTTTGATGAGATGGCTTAAAATTCAAAGACAACAGGTGAAACATAATTTTTCTTCTGTAGTTAAACTTGAGTGTAGTAGTTCAAGTTAAACTTGAGTAGTTCTTTTATAGCATTTCATTCTACAGCAGATAAAATAGCATTCCTATTTTTTCATTTTGCTTATAAGACTCTTACAGCACTCTGCCTTGCCCTAACTCATTTCCTCTGGTTGAAGTAATGGGAATCTGGAACTGGTCATCTCGTGTCCAATAGGTAAAGGGAGAAGAGATGTGAGGAGAGATGCAGGCAAACCCAGGGAATTAATGTTGTTCTAGTGTTGCAATAAGTTAGATAGCAGATTGTTAATTCACATTTTTACTTACAAGGTGTTTCCTGTACAGAGACTCATTGCTTTGATCTCCATGTTTGTATTGTGGATGAAGCACGAAGTTCTTTCAACGTCGTTTTGTGACACATAGTGAATTATTTTGTTGAGCAATAATGAACTGTACCTCTTTTTTCTTTACGTTCTTTTTTGAGGATCAAAAATAGAATCTTAACCCTTAGTAGCTTCCCTTACCCATTTTGTATGATTTTGAAAGAAGCCTGTGTTGTGCATATTAATTTTTCATGGCCTAGATAAAACACTCTCCTAAGTAAGGTATTTCCTTTTTCTTCATATTTGCTTCTTCATCTAATCAACCACTTACTGGTTGTCAACATCTGTTTTCATGTCCTTGATTTCACATTGCTGAGTTTTGTACTCTAGGGTCTTTATAATGTTTGTTCCCTTTTTAATATTTTTTCAAGCTGAATGCCTGTTAAAATCTAGAGGAATACTTGTCTGGAAAAGACTTGTTTTTTCTTAATTGTCGTACAGGTACATACTCCATTTGTTTTCCCTTACAAAGTATGACTTGATTGTGGATTTAGCATTTAAGGCTGTTACCTGCAGAATCATCTCATGCTGTGCTTTAATATAGATTAGACAGGAAGGACACAAAGTAATATCTTTATGGTGCAAGATACTGAAGTTACTCTGGCCATATGATGTTCTGTGAATCTGACTTTCATCAGCCTAACCATAGTCAAGGTTTTCCAACTCATGATAAAATAGAATTGTAAGGATTCTTTTTTTATGTGAAAATACGGTTGATAAAAATCATTAAAATAAGCATGGTTGTTGGCATTATAATGAAAATTGTATGTTACAAAAATTAAAATAATTTTGAAAAAATCTTCAGTACAGTGTATGAAAATTGATGAGGCACTAGCTGGACAAAACACCTCAGAAGACAGCAGAGAAGGTGGTAATACAAAGCATTAGTGAATGTATTCTTTCTTGCTACAGAATAGATGCAGACATATCTTGTTAGCTCCATGATCTAATACCTGAAATGACAGACAAAAAGCCAAAACATTAATAGCTGATAAAGCCTAAGATGAGAAGAATTTTCTAGGTTTTTTTTAACTTGCTGTTTAACACACTGCCTGCTTCAGAGTACTGAAAGAAAATATTAACTGCTTTGTGTAGACCCCAGAGATAATCAGGGAAGTATCGTAAAAGCTGAAAGAAATGCCTTATGGTTGGAGTAAAGCTGGATACTTGTTCTGGGTCCTTTTGGAGGTTGCTTTTTCTATTTGTTTTGGGGTTTTTTGTATGGTATATTTCTTACAGACCAAAATGCTGTATTTTATGCTCACAGGCTGACCATTCTGTTCAAGATCTGTGAAATAGATCACTTAAATAAAACAGGAAGCTGTAATACTGAGGGAAGAAGGAGGGACAGCTTTATTATTCACCTTACTAAAGTACATGCTCTATAATAGAGTATGTCATTTTAATTTAGGACACTCACAGAAATTTGATGACACTCCTGTGTCCTGCTTTTTTCCTGAGTTTGGTAGCCCTACTAATCAGAAAGCTTTAAAACAACGTTTTTGTCATATTTGCATTACTGTCTTTAAGTTTTGTGATGTTTCCATGCTTAGGGATGGAGCCCAAGTTGAACATCCTGGAAATCGTGAAGCCTGTGGAGACCGTGGAGGTTGTGATTGATCCAGATGCTCATCATGCAGAGGCTGAAGCTCACCTTGTTGAGGAAGCTCAAGTGATAACCTTGGATGGAGCAAAACATATTGCAACAATTTCAGATGAAACGTCTGAGCAAGTGACACGATGGGCTGCAGCACTGGAAGGCTACCGGAAGGAGCAGGAGCGCCTTGGAATACCTTATGGTAATAGTGCACAGCTATGGGTGTACTCAGTTGGGGGCTGGGCTCAAGGACCTCAGAGGAGGAAACCTGTGGTATGGGTTAGTACAATGCAAATAATCTGCATAAGGGACTTGTAGAATCATGGAATGGTTTGGCTTGGAAGGGACCTTAAAGACCATCTGGTTCCAATCCCCTGCCATTGGCAAGGACAACTTCCATTAGATGAGGTTGCTCCAGGCACCGTCTAGCTTAGCCTCGAACACATCTAGGAATGGGGCAGCCACAGCTTTTCTGGGCACTGTGCCAAGGCCTCACCTCTCTCACAGGGAAGAATTTTTTCCTAATACCTAATCTAAAAACCAAGGAAAAGTAAAATGAATGCTCATAATAGTTTCATTAAATGAGTGCTTTTGTGGCAAACTACCTTGTCAATGCAGTTTTTAGAAAGCAGTTTTCTTCCTGCCCTCCTTAAAAATGCATGTGTTAGTGATAAAGCTCTTCAGGTGCATGTGGAATTGAACAGATTCAGTATTGGGGCATTGCCTGTAAAGTTGCGGAAACAAATTGTTCATGGTCTGGAAGATGGTGAATATTCTGTTAAATTAGATTTTGTATGAGAAGCTGTGCTGGACTTCTTCATACTGGAGGAAGATGATTCAGAACTGAAAAAAAATATTCTTCTAGATTATCATCCTTTTTGTGAGTTAATGTTGTTACTTAGCAGGTTGCTCTTTTAATGTTAGCTTAAAAAACATCTCTGAATGTCTGTTTAATGACTGTTTAATGACTGTTTAATGAATGCTAATGACTGGAACTGTGGGATGTAGACTTCTATCATGTCTGGGAGATGATCCAGCTGAATTGCTTCTTATGACTGGCAGAAATGTACTGTCAAGACGTATCAGGAAGCTGTTCTACATGAGCAGACCTGTAAAACTGGAATGTATTTGGCTAGGGGGAAGTTTGGAAGGATTTAAGAATTCCAGTCAAGTCATAGGTCTTTGCAGGACATGCAGCTTGCCAATATTTTGAGCATATTTTTGATAACTAACTAAAGCAAAGGCTTTTTCATGGCTTTTTGGTTTTCTCATTGGTAAGCACTTCAGAAATAGTTTTCCTCATGTTATGTCTGTTGATAATCAGGGATTTGATGTGTAATGTTTGGAAAAAAAAAGTGAGGGATTATCAGAAGCAGACTAATGCTTTTCATCATGCTGTCACATTAATATTAGAATAAAATTACTGAAACCAATGTTGTTATGTTGAATAATATTTTTAATAAACTTTAATAATGTTGATTCTTTAAGAAAACCCTATAACCACAACTGTGGCTTCAAAAGTTCAATGATTTTTGGGCCATAGGAGTGCAGATTTTTCAGGAAAATCTTATTATTTCATTACGACAGAGATCCATAGATTATGAAAAATAGTGTTCTCTTGATATCAAAAAAATGTGCTAAATTAGACTCCTAAAAAGAATAACATTTTAAATGTTTTGTGAGTAGACATTACAGGGACTTGGGCTGAAATAAGGTGCCCCTAAGTTCTGCATTATAATCCAAAATTATTTATTGAATCTTTTCAGAAGACAGGATGCATTGATGTTAAGAATCAAGGCTAGTCAATAATCATCCAGAAAAGTAGGGTTCATTGTCTTCATTCTTACAGGCTTCTCTGGTTTGCTGCAAATGGAAAACTACCATTTAGCAGGTCTTTAAAATGTTGTTTTATGTTATGTTTTGGGTGGATTTTATTAGAGATTATAAATATTTTTCTGTTACAAGTATTTCTGCTATTAGAATCCAAATATTTGGTACCTAGAAGGAAGGAAAATAGTAATTATGATGAGAAATAAATGCAGAAAACAGAGCAGCAGAAAGCTTGGAAATCACAGAAGTGGTTAGAGAAAGTAATGATTTTTGTTTCCTTGCAGATTGTGTTCTCTCAATGAGAACAAATTAGCAGCTTTTTGATGGAAGCTCACTGTTGCTGATGTTTGGTAGATCAACCTTCTTGTGGTGTCTTTTGCCACAGGATTACATTGCTCTGTTTTAGGTAGCATTACTGAAATTGATACCATGTAGCTGTTCTTTGTTAACCAAAATTAAATTGTAGCTCCTAGATAAATGTTTATAGATTTAGGATACTTTTCTTTCTCTAAATCTTAATTTCATTAATCTTTCTTAATGCTTAATTTTATTTGTTTTAAATCTTAAAATAAAAAATTGTCAAGGTGACATCTGCTTGGAATATCAGAATTTAAAAATACATAATCACTCTGCTCCAGTGAAAAGCAGATGTCCCTACTTTAGTTTCTTGTTCTTACGTGTTGGCAATTTTAATATGTTGTATACCATGTTAACATCCCAAAACTTGATGGTCTGGCTAAAAAGGTTGTGCAGAAGCAATCACTCACCTCCAGTAAGCCAATGCTCAGACAGGCTCTATGCAAGGGTGTGGCAGTCATATTTTCTGGAAAAATCCCTTCACCCAGGATTTATCTCCTGGGAAGATGAGAAGCCTCAGAGAAAAAAAGGAAACAATATTATCTAATTTGCTTCTCCTGTGTTTTGCTGCTTTGGAATCTGGTTGGAGATTGTTTATCCAACAGGTGATTGTTTCATTGGATTCATGTGAATTGTTTTGACTAAATGGCCAGTCAGGGTCAATCTGTGTCAGGTTCTGGAGGGAAAGTCACAAGTGTCTTTTAGCCTTCTGTCTGTATCCTTTCTGTATTCTTTAGTATAGTTTAGTTTAGTATTCTTTAACATAATATATATTATAAAATAATAAATTAGCCTTCTAAGAACATGGAGTCAGATTCATCATTTCCTTTCTACATCTGGGAACCCTGCAAATACAGTACTGTTAAGTTGTTTGTCCCGGGCCAGTTCTTATAAGTGTCATTAGGAGGTGCATTCCTACACAGTACAAGGGATACTTAAAAAAAACCTGATCCTGAGTTTTATTGCCCAGTATTCCCTGTAGTGTGGAATATGCCTTTGTCTGTTGAGGTCAGCTGTCCCTCCTCAGTTTCGTGTGCACCCCCTGTCTACTCACTGGGGTGGCTGAATGAGAAACAGAGAAGATCTTGCATTGGAGTCCAACAGTCTGACAAGATAGTCTGTCCTTCTAGATATTCCATGTGTGGAGGGTGTAATATTGAATATCAGATTTACTTGAGAGTCATTGATATTACATGGGAATTCTGGTTTAGTAGAGTGATACGAGGTACATTAAAACCTAGCACAGAGGTAAAATATACTTGAATGAATACAGCAGTTTCAGAACATTGCACAATCCCAATCCCTATCCCAACAGTATTCCTGGTACAGGTGTCTATAATATACTCACCGTCACAAGGTTAAGTGTTCCTGATGGCCAGGAAGGAGAGCATGGGTTGCAACCAACTCAAGCCCATTGTTCTCTTTGAAATTCACTTGCTAGTTTTGTGGTTTATATTCTCTGTGTTGGGCTAAGCCACACCTTCGTGGCCTCTGCAGGCGCTGCTCAGCAGTGGTCAAAACATCTCAGTGTTATTAATAGTGGTTTGGTCACCAGCCTAAAGTACAAAACAATAGGGGCTTCTGGGAAGAAAATTAATCCATCCCAGACATACCCAGTGGTGGTTTTTGTCAGCAGAAACTGAGATTATGTGAATGAGTTTAGAATGTAGTATTTTGTCATAATCACAAACTGATCAACATCTTCGAAGGAGAGTATCCTTCTGTGGGAGAGGGCACTCTTTTCTTGAAGCTGAAGACCAGTGGAAGAAGAAAATTCTTTTTTTTTGTGTTTGAGATATGTCAGGCATAGATCTGATGTAAAAACTTTCTCTAAAGAAAATCGTTCTTTCACCCTTTCCATCACCCCACCAACCCACACCATTCCATCACAATTTTAAGTGCAGTCACCAACTTTCCAGGTAGATTTGGTCTCAGTAACTCTGCTTCTTGTTGTGCTTTTACTCTTATGGAAGTTATTATATAATAACCTTGCAGTGTATGATGAGGTGATTTGCAGTTTCATCCCTCTTTTCCAGACCCAGTTCAGTGGTCGACAGACCAGGTGCTCCACTGGGTGGTGTGGGTAATGAAGGAGTTCAGCATGACTGACATCGACCTCAATGCACTCAGCATTCCTGGGCGGGACCTCTGCAACCTCAGCCAAGAAGATTTCTTCCAGCGTGTCCCACGGGGAGAAATCCTCTGGAGCCACCTGGAACTTCTTCGAAAGTGTATGGCAGTTTGGTTTTTTATTTAGACTTTTTTTCTTGAACTATGAAACCAATTATGAGCAGTCATTTTTCCTTTACTTGATGTTGATGGTAAAAACGAGGGTATCAATACAAGATAAGAGAATGTCTGCTGCCATGAAACGTTGCATACTAAACACTGCCTGTCTTTTATCAAACCTCATAACTGATGGAAGGTAGTGAATGATTATTCCACCTTTGTTTTTTATAAAGCTTCATAGTTTGTGCATCCACTGAATTTGTTAGTTCTATAATTAAATATTGACTTTAAGTTATTAAGTGTACATTTCTCTGTCATATTGAAGTGGAGATTTTTAAGCACAGGAAGTGAAATCTTAGATGGTACACAACACAGCTGCTAAGTGATGCATTGTATGTGCCTAATACAGTAACATAATAAATATATGTGCATTTCAGATGTACTGTGCTTGGAGGTAACTTGCTAGACTAATAACTAATTCTGTCTTCATTTACATAATATAGCAGAAGGTTTTTGGGGATGGAGCTAGTGGAAATTTGCCATGTACACCCTTCTAAAAATGAGTGACAGATGTTAAACGTCTCCACTTATAAGACCATGAACTGTACATGTCTCTTGCAAATGGATACCAAATTTTTCTTTCCTCTATGAAATAAGAAAGTTTTTGATCTTCAGGTGACTTGTTATTTGTGGGTTAAATATAAACCTGTTGGTTTTTTTTTCCAATTTGTAGATGTGTTGGCTAGCCAAGAACACTCTGGAGAAATAGCAACTGTTACAATTGATCAGCGTAAGTACTTCTGTCAGCATTAATTCACATAATTTACTGTGTGCAGGTTTAGCACTGTACTGTGGTTCAGAAGTATGATAGTACAACATTTAGAAAATTACTTGAGAGAGTATTTTTCCTTGGGAAAGGGAGGAGGACATATTTTAAACTTTAAAACATAACATTGAGTTTCTCTATATTTTGTTACTAGCTGAAAGGTAGTGTTTGACCTGAACTATAGAAGTTTATAACTTTCATTTTGGATGGTAGATTTTTCACTTTCTTGAAATAAGCTGTCTAGGATACATATTTGAGGTTTTTCGTTTTTCAGGGCTTTAGGTTATATATTGCATTAATGAATGGACCTATTTAAATATTAATTTAAAATAAAAAAGTGTTTCCAAAAACTGAAGTGTTCTGTGGAAGAGATGACTTGCTTAGAAACCAATATTAGAAATAATACATCAAATTAACTTTCCAGTTATTTGAAACTCATTCTTTCACCTAAGCAGTGTCATCAATTATTAAAATGAATCAATTTTCAGATAATTTATAAGTATCTTATATGTTAAATAGACATACTGTTTATTACATCCTGTGGTTTTATCTAGTTAAAGCCAGCTTGAGTGGGGCATCTGTATTCTCCTACACCATTGCAATAGAAGGTGTTTGCTGTTTGAATATCAGGTATGGAGGTTGCCAGGTGACTGTAGAGAAAAGGACATTAGGGCAGATCATGTGGGAACAGCATGAAGATAAAACAAGGGCTTGAGAGAGTTTGTATTCTTTCTGTGGAAGCATGTAATACACGTGATGATGAACTAAAACTGGTGTTTTATCTGTAATGTGACACTTCTGCAATGAGTCTAAAACTGCAATTTTCATATAAGAGATAAAAAGGTCTTTAAATTATATTTAGCATTGTGACTTAATGCAATGTGCCTTTTTAGCAAAGGAAAAAACTAGTTTCTAGATGTTATGATAATACAGGTAATAATAAAATATGCCTATTTCTGTGCAAGCAATTTATTGTTAATGTTCTGCAACATTCTCTGCTCTACAGCTGTGCAGATTATACCAGCATCTGTACAGCCTGCTACCCCAACCACCATCAAAGTGATAAACAGCAGTGCAAAAGCAGCTAAAGTACAGAGAGCTCCAAGGATCTCTGGGGAAGATAGGAGCTCTCCTGGGAACAGAACAGGTATTGCCTCCACTGTTTTTACATGCTAATGCGCTGAACACTGACCCATTAATTTGAACTGCAGTTTGGTGAGATGTGTCTTTGTAGCTCCAAATGTGAGGTTTGTAGGGGTCTTTGTGAAGGGAGTGGTGTGAAGGGAGCCATAGGTACAAAAATCTGTGGTAAGCACAGGCAGCCCTGGCAGGTTGGTCAGCTCACAGGCACCATGTCAACATGATGCTGCAGTTTTTTTCCATTCTGAAGCAAATAAAATGGATGTATTTCCCCACCACTTAACAATCTGTCCTCTCAAACCACTGCAAGGCATTTATTCGAGCTTTTAACTTCTTTCTGTTTGTAGAAAGGGAAGAAAATAAACTATGTTGTAAAATGTGGCCTAGCTGCTACTTGCACTATCTGTTGTGCTCCTCCTCTGTTTTTCCCCAATCTGGTGACTTCAAAATTTATAAAGTTTCATATTTCTTTTTTAGTTGAATGAATGCATGTCTGGAAAACTGCACACTAAATTCGTAGTTTAATTTTGGAATCACTGTTATTTGTACATACTCTTTGATTATTAATTTCTTTATTTTTTTCTTGCCATCATTTTTGTTTTGCTTCTCTTTAATGTTGTGAATTTTTCTGTTAAATCCTTCTTTCTCTTCCTCCTTGAATTTTTATTTGTTTTAGACTCTATAAAGGCATCTATGACATCCGTCTAATGATGTCATTCAGAATTTTAAGGCTAAGGTTTTATTAGCTGACGTTAGTGAGGAATACTGTGTGTTTCTCTCTTTAGTCATCAGGTCTGCTCTCTTTATCTCGTTGAGAATTTAGGAATTTTACTGTGGGTACTTGAGTTAGGAAAAAATCTTAATGATTGGATGTGAAAGATGCAACAGTGATATAAACTGAAATTTGAGTGTTTCTTCTGTCTTTTTCATATTTCGTGGTGAAAATTTGAGACCAAATTTTTTTTAAAAAAATAGCTATTACACATATATGTGTGTATGTGTGAAGAGGAATTAGCAGCTCTTGATAAATCTGTTCTGTTTTAAAGACAGATATGCTTCTAAATTATTATGTTGAGGAAGTTGTGTTTTTTTAAGTTCTAGGGGAAGATTTATGTGAAATCTTGATTAATTTTTTCCTGTATTGATAATTTTTTTAATAAAAATGGGTACTGATAACTTTGCAGGAAAATATTTGTAAAAGGAACATTAGAAGGGATTAATTAAGTGAAAGTTTTCCTTCCATCATATAGTCTATGCTGGTCTGCTTTAATATGTTGGTTGCAAGTTTTTAGCCATGAATGGAACATGAAAAGGACAAGTTGAACTGAAACTTGTTATTCCTGTTTTAACAGGGAACAACGGCCAGATCCAGCTGTGGCAGTTTTTATTAGAACTTCTCACAGACAAAGATGCTCGGGACTGTATTTCTTGGGTTGGTGATGAAGGAGAGTTTAAATTGAATCAACCTGAGCTGGTTGCACAGAAATGGGGACAGCGCAAGAACAAGCCCACAATGAACTATGAGAAGCTTAGTCGGGCTTTGAGGTAAGAAAATTAAGGAACTCATGGGGTATTATTTGCTTTCATTTGGTTATCTCATTTTTAAGTAACATAATGCAAAACTTGCCTTTTTTAGTAAAGGCAAGTCTTCTGAAGCTGGTCCTTGCAATGAGATCCTGCTAATTGCAGGGGAGGGGTATTTGCTGGGCTTTTTGCCTTTGTGGTTTTTTTTTTTTGTTTTTTTTTTTTTTTTTTTTTTTTTTTTTCTTTCATTTTTAAAGAAGCTAGTAGAATAACTCATTGAAAATAGATTTTCTTTTTTCAGGATCATTAATTTGGGTTGCTCACTTCCAGAAATATACCTGGTTTTTGTTTATCATCAATATTTATGCTTTTAGTAGCATGCCAAACAATTTTGATTATTGATGAAAGATATAAAAATATGTGAATTATTAACTTATTTTTATGTTCTACTGTCTGTATTCTTCTTGCTCTTGTTTTGAAATAAAGCAGATACTTGTCTGTAATTGTTAGTGATTTTCTGTATGCACGAACCTTTTCTAACTTCAAATATTCATTATTTCATGTCATTGTTCTTATTGTGTGGATCTTAAATTGAAAAATACAGTCGACAGCCATGTTCCAACAGTTGCCTTTCCAACATCACAGTGATCTGAAGAAATGAAAGTATTTCAGTACCTTCATTTGGTTGAGATTTTTAGTTTGACATTGATAAAAGGGACTTTTATTGATTTACTGTGGGTGATTTACTGTACTTGAAGAGGGGGAAGAGTGCAAGTACCTGAATTTTAAACTACTTTTCCCTGATTGTTTTAGTCTCTGGAATAATTTGAAAATTCATTCATGTTCTTTGAAATCATTGAGAGTGAACTTCTGATTTCTTATTCTGATATTGTTAAATATATTTGTCTTGATTTGTTTTCAAGAAAGAAGTTTTTTGCCTAGTCCTGCAAATTATTCAAGCAGTTTTAGAAATTCTTTTTGCATGAGTGAAGTTGCATTTTGATTGAGGTGTGTGCTTTACTTACTAGCATTTTCACTTTTGGATGTGTGTTGTTTGCTTGGTTGTTTTTTTTTGAAGTGAACTCCTCTAGCATTATATAAAAATATCAACTTCTATTTGAAAATACCTCTGTAAGAAATTATGATGAAGTATCATATCCTGGCTTTCTTTACCCTTTATAGGGAGTGTTTAATTTGCATTTGACAGGCATGAGATACACAGCTAAACTATACCCTTTTGTTTGTCTTAGAACTTCTTTAGACACAGTACTGCAGGTGCCAGAATTATTTTGTGTTTGACAGACAAGCAGAAAAATTAATGAAAAACAAATATTTTGAACAATATTAGGTATTGAAAGATGCAACTTATGAGAGTTCCTGAGCCTCAGGTCACTAAAAGCCAGGAGGAGCATTGGTAGGTACTTACTCTCATGCTTTTCCTTAGGTCTCTTGGAGTCTTGTTTCTTTTTTCAGTCTCTTGGAGCCTATTCCTGTTCTACATCAATCTTTAGTCTGGTCTTGCATTATTTATATATTAATGAGAATGTTAATTTTTTTCATAGAATCACAGACTCTCTTGGGTTGGAGGGCTGGAGGAAGTTTCTGGTCTAATCTCCTGCCCAAAGCAGGACCTTTCCAGTACAGCTCTTTCCCAGCCTGTATTGTTCCAATACCATTCCCATGTTTCCAACCTGTGTATCTGTGAGTCTGTGTACTAAAGGCATATGTGAAAACCTTCTGATACATAAAAATTATGTAAACCATGCTGATGTTTTTGGGTTTAGTCAACAAGCTCCACAGAAGATCCCAAAGGCAGCTGAAGAACTTTGGAATAATGTTCTTATCAGTGGGTTATTAAACACCAGTTTGCATAAATCACTACTAGAAAAGTTTCACATTTATATTTTAGTCACAGAATTACAGAATTCGCATTCATCAAAGTGGTTTTATTTTGGCAGCTGCATCATTATTGACATGTTTTCTAACAGTTTAATGTCTGAAGGGATATTTAATGACTCTTGCTGCTCCTGTGATAAACACTGTTGCCAAGCTGAAGTTTAATAAAGTATTATGTGTTTTGTTTACTAATGTATTGAAATCACAGTGTCAATTATTGATTAATACAGGAAATTATGTTGGTACTACTGGGAAATATGCTGACTCTTCTGCCCAGCTGTAGGAAAAGCAGGCATATAGAAACTAGGGCAGAGGGGCAGAAAGGGGAGAGAGGCTTTTTTTTTGTTATAAACATTTATATTTTGTTATATAACATTTACCAACATATTTTGGTAATTTTTCTAAAAATACAGGTCTGTTTAGTTATCCAGTAGGGAGGTAAGACTTGAAGAAAAATAATTCATCTGTATTATTCTGAAACAAAGTTTCCATGTGTCTTGGAATGTTCCAGTAACTTTGTGAATTTGCATGGGTATTTAATTTTACGTATTTTTAGCTTTCTTTATTGAGTAGGCAAATGCTGTAATCAGAAATACATTCAACATAGTATTGAAAATATCCTCTTGCCACATTAACTGATTTTAACTTGAGTGTTTTGAGCATGAGATGTGGGAATCTTGCATGTTTTGGGCCTTCATATAAGCATGATCTAATTTCTTTTGATCCTTTTCCTTTCTGATCGTATCAGTAATGTGGAGTAATTCAAAGTATATTCAGTTTTTTAAAACATTTTTTTACAGCATTTTTTGAGATAGGAATGATTCTGTGGGATTGTGCAATAAATGGAAAGGCTTGTACAGAGTTAACAAACTTTAAAAAAATGATGATTACTGCCACTTGACATATGCCATGGCCACATATTGCAGACTTTGTTTTTCTGCTTCATAATTCCCCAAGTGAGCAGAGCTCAGTTTTTCTATGTCCTCTACCCTGTCATATTCAACATGAGTGTCTGCCCAGTGTTCCCACACTGAACCCAGTGTTCCCTTTCACACACAAGGGACGCACCAGGTTATTGCTCATCCTTCTCCAGTTCTGCCCAATACTACAAGACTCTGCTTCAAAGCTGAACATAAATTATGATCCCACCCTCACGTTTACAGAGTTCAATCAACCCACTGCAACTAAACCTCAATAAGAGGCTGAAAGTGCTGGACAGCATTCCACAGCAGTTCCTTCAGCTGGTGCTGAGATGTTTTGGAGGGCAGGACTGGCATGGAGAATTGCTGGGAGGAAGCTGTAGTAGCAGCCAAGAGTAAGCCTAGAGATGCAGAGAAGGAAATGGAGGAGTTGGGGGAGGCAGGTGGTAGTTTGAGGGGTCGAGTGAGGAGAAGGACTGAAAAGGAAGCATTTATAATTTTATGTTACTCAGGAGAAAGCTGAAGGAGAGCTTTAATAAACAAACCACACTGTCTTTACCCACAGAGCAATAATAAGTTACTCTGACACTTCCTGTACTCCATGACAGACCTCTGCAGTTTCTTGTATGATCTCAGTAACCAGCAGATTTACCAACATTGTTTTCTACACAGCCTGTCTCTCCTCTGTCTTTGGTCCTGCTGCTTAGGTCCCGACCCTCAAAAGTAAGAAATTAAAAGGCTTATTTTTCCAGAACTTGAGATGTCTGAAGAATTTGCTGGGATTCTTAGTTACTTACCTCTTTTCCACTAGAGCTGGGAGTCAGAAGTTCGTCTTTTAATTGACTTAATTTTGCTACTGAGCAAGAATCATCTTTGCTTTATGAACATGTCAAAGGATTGAGTTCTAGACAGTCAGGAAATCTGGGTTTATTTGGGTGATGGTTTTGAGGAAATTATGTTGTGTGAGTTGGTTGAGTTTTTATTATTTTCCAAATTTATCACAAGCTTTCAAGCTCATCAAATCCAAGTTACATCCCAGTCATTTAAGTTTCCTTAATGAGAAATGTGATACACATTCTATTGAAGCTTGTAGTGAGAGTAGAGCAGCAACAAAACTGAAAAATTCTCTCTTCTGTTTTATTGGTGTGACCTAAACTGTCGGGGAGGGGCGG